TCTCTCTCTCTCTCTCTCTCTCTCTCTCTCTCTCTCACGTTTGTAGCTTAAGAATGATGAAATGAGAGTGAAAAATGTATACAAGGGTCCACTAGTGCCTTATGTAGGCTTGGATTAAGGAATTCATTAATTAGGCTTAATTGATCATTAATTATTCTAATTATTTTGTTCCAAATCGAATTCTAATTTTACCTACCATAATTTTCTAAAAATCGCCAATAACTCATAAACCAAATCAATTTGATGATCGGATGCCGATAAGGTCTTTAATTCGCAAAACAAAACAAAAATACAGACAGATATTCCTACCATAAACAGATATAAAGACAAAGAATGCAACACACATGCAATTAATTCATAATTTCACGTTAATTACTCATTAAGCATTCTTAATCATGGTTTGACGGTTGATCATAGGTCAAGGTTGTTACAGTAACTTGGATAAACAATGTTTTCCTTATATTTTATGTGTAACTTAGATGACTTACGCCCATTTGATGCACAATGTGTTGGGTGATATTGAATTATGTCCACTGGAACCAATAAAAGCCAATTGAATTGCCACGTTGTTTTTACATTGCCTACTAGAACTAATAAAAACCAATGGAACCACTGGATGCACATACATGTGAATATTGCATTGCCCAAGTTTTTTTCTAGGAAGTGCACAACTGAATTATGTTGAAAATTGAATTATGCTTAGGTTGCTTTTTTTTAGGAAGTGCACAATTGAATTATGTTGAAAATTTGTAAAATTTTAAACCGTCAAACCGATTCGTATCCATCCTCTAATCTGCTCAATCCGCATCCACCGAATTGGTGATGCAGATTGATTTTCTCAAATCCGTCAATCTGACAAACGAATGGCGGATTGGAGGTTTCGTGGCCGCAATCAATCCGCGCCCACCCCTAATACGCATTACATCTTTTAATTTATTATTCTTATATCATTCATCATAGTATATTATTGAGATTAGACCTAACAAAATATTTGACAAATTAAAATTTGATATTTGTCAAATATATCATTAAGTAATTTTTAAAAATGATAAATTTGGTGGAGTGGTGCTACACCTAATTGAATAAAGCTACATGCATCAAGTGATATACTAATTAATATTACAATCAATACTATGATATTGTCACTTTAAAATTGTAAATCTTACTCATTATACAAATTATAAAAATCAAAACCTCTTTGTCAAATCATTGTTTTTTAGAAGTAGGTTAAAAGCCAAATTTTTATTTTTTAAAAAAGTATGCGAAAAAATAAAGAGATCATGTGATTCAAAAAAATTAAAAAATTATTTTTTAACCAACTTGTCAAAATAAGCCTTACTTTTTTGCATATTTTTCAAAAAAAAAATTAAAAAAATTAACTTTTAATCCACTTCCCAAAACAAGCATTAAAATATATACCAATTAGTGTGTCAAGTATTTTTTTCATGAATAATGCTATATGTACAGATTGATACAACAATTAGTATATTAACAGATAATGTGACATAATTTTAGAAGTTTTGGGTTTATTAGTGTGTTTGGTTTCAATTTTCTGAATTCAATTTTTTAAAAATTCAATTTTTTATTTTTCATTTTTTTTTGTTTTTAGTGAATATTTTTAAAATTTTAAGCAAATTTTTTTTTTTAAAAAAAATTTAGATGCACCTTACTTACATATATATATATATATATCTAAAAAGTAAAATATTTGTAAAAAAAAATAAAAAAATCAATAAATACACAAGAATATGTAAAACGTATTGAATTTTTATATATATATATATATATATATTTGATATTTTTGATATTTAGTGAATTTCTAAAAAAAAAATTGCAAATATTATACTTTTTAAAGTGTTTATGTTAGGTGTATCTAAAAATTACTTAGAATATTAAAAAAAATCAGTAAAAACAAAAAAAATACCAAAAATAAAAAAAAATTAAAAATAAAAACCAAACAAACTGATAATTTGTATAATAAATAGGTCAATAATAATATTATAACATATATTTGTATATTAGTTAGCCCTGGTTTGACTATCATTTTGGGGCTAAAAAAGTGCAAAATGACAAAATCGGCTAAATAAGTTAATAAGATAAAATATCACATCCAACTCATAATCATTACACTTTGTCTCTCATAAAAATAAAAAAAGTCAAAAAATCCAAACCAAACGAGACTTAAGCCTTCATTTGACATGCTAGGCTTTTTGACTATTTTAGTCACAAAAAGACAAAATAGACTTTTTAACTTAATAAGACAAAACATCACATCCAATCCATAATCATTTAATTTTTTCTTTCTCAAAAATCACAAAAAATCAAAAAACCTATCCTAAACGAGACTTTTTAACCCTAAACAAAATAGTCAAAAAGCCAATCTACATCCCAAACGAACCAGGCTAAAAAAGTCTCAACACAAAAAAGTTGGCTATATTAGCCATTGCCAAACGAAGCTTAGTATATCAATTGGGTAATTATTCAGTAATAATATTTTATGGGTTGGTTTAGCATAAACTATAAAAGCTAAAAAGTTATTAAAAAAATCAAAAAAATCCATACTATTTGGAGGAAGCTTATGCGGGAAGCCTAGAGGGCAAAATTATTATTTTGCCCTTTGAATTCAACAACTAAAAAGTTAAGTGAAAAAGTCAAAAGGGTAGAATAGTCATTTTTCTTTTATTACAATATTTTATTACGGGAGCCTCTATTTATACACCACATTTCATCTTAAGGCACACCACTACTCAAGGCACACCTTTAGTAATTTGATAAATACAAAATTTGCTCAATATACACCACAATCTTCTATTTTTATTCTTACTCACACACTCCACTCATATCTTCCATCTTTACCCTTACACTGGTCTGTCAAACATTAACGTTTTGTCTAAAGTGTTTCTGTCGAACAAATTCAATATGTTCAACATTTTAGTGTTGAACTTAAGTTATCTATTCGGACTTGGTCTGTTGAACAATTTCAATATGTTCGAAATGTAAGTGTCGAACAAAATTGAATCACGACTATTGGATCTCACAGTTCGAAATTTAAATTAGTTTAAGAGAAGATGGCCTTAGTAACTTCAAAACCTACAATATGCTAACAGGCTTATAAAGGCCCATTCACACTATTAGCTCCTGATGGTACAAGAGTTGTAAGCCAAGCAAAATTCGATACTATAAAATCAAACATATATAATTTGTTCGGTTGTAGATAGCCGAACATGGATATTGTTTGACTCTAGATAACCAAATAAATATAAACGGCCTACTGCTCAGCAGGTAAACAAAAATGAAATAAAAAATAAAAAACTAACCTTTTCTTTGCTCCATTGTTCCAAACCAATATTGTCAGATGTATCCATCTTTCGGTCCAATCAAAATTTTCAATAGTACATATATTTTTGGTTATTTCTTTAAGGGTTTTTGATTTTCTTGGTTGTTTCTTTAAGGGTTTTTTATTTTTGTCTCAGGGTTTTTAGATTTTTCAGAGAGAAGATACGTAAATAATGTTTGAGATACTTGGTGTGTATTGTATTCATTATAGTTCTTTATGGTAATTTTATAAAAGGTGTGTATCATAATCTTTTGTCCTTTGTGGTTATTTTACATAAAGTTAATATTGTTATAAAAATTAAACCAATTAATGGTGTACTTTGAGATGAAATGTGGTGTGTAAATAGAGGCTCCTTTTTATTACACATCTTTTCGTAAAAAGTCAAAAAAGTAAAATGATTATTTTGCTTTTACTACAATATGTTATTATACATCTTTTCATAAAAAGTTAAAAAGTTATTTCAAACATACATATTTTTTTTCTTATACTTTTTAACCAAAGAGTCAAAAAGTATACTTATACATCCCAAACAATCATGGTATTGTGATTAGTAAAGAAGGTAAGTAGATGAGATATATGTTAAGGGATTAGAAAACATAGAAGGCATATTTAGGCATCGTTTGGGATTAAGTTTTTTAAATAACTTTTTGATTAAAATATGATATAAAAAAAATTAGTGTGTTTAGAATGATTTTTTTAATTTTTTACGAAATTTGTGCAAAAATAGAGAGAAAAAGAATTTTTTGACTTTTTAGTATAGGTTGTTGACTTTTTTTATTTTTTTAATAACTTTTGAACTTTTAGACTAAAAAATGATATTGTCAAATGAGACTTAAATAATAATTGGTTAAACAGTACAGACACGTAGGTTGCGTTTGGTAATATTTACGTTTTTGGTTTATGTTTACAAAAATTTTATAAATTTTTTATTTATTTATTTTTAGAATCAACTACAAACGTGTTTGAAAATTTTTAAAAACATAAACTAAAAAATATGTTTATTCATGTCTAAAATATTTATATTTATTTTTTTATTATTTATGACAATGGGATCATACACATTATAATTAAAAAAAATTATTGAAAAAAATTAGTTGAAAAAGCAATTAATTGAAAAAAATTAATTAAAAAAATAATAATTGAAAAAAAAAATTGTTAGTCAAATTTTTAAATTTCTGGTTAAAAACAAACGTAAACTCAAAACGAGTTTACCTTTTTTCCTCAAATTTACAAAGTAAGACAACCATTTATAAACCATTTTTCATCAAATAATAATTGGTTTGAATAAAATGTTTAAAAAATTTTAAAAACATAAACTAAAAAATATGTTTATTCATGTCTAAAATATTTATATTTATTTTTTATTATTTATGACAATGAGATCATACACATTATAATTGGAAAAAAAATTAATTGAAAAAAAATTAATTAAAAAATTATTTGAAAATATTAATTAAAAAATAATTGAAAAAAAATTATTTAAAAAAAAATTATTAGTCAAATTTTTAAATTTCTGTTTAAAAATCAAAGTTTATATATATTTTTTCAAATTTATAAATTAAGAAAACTATTTATAAACTTTAAAAAAAAATTATCAAACAAATTTTTATAATAATTTTTTAAATTTTTATAAATATGAAATTCTATAATTTCCCCAATTGGTGATCACTGTTTTTCCATGTATACAACCTCTCATTTTGCTCTTGCATTCGCAAAGCGTGAATCGTAACCTTTCACCGACACACGCCCTAGAAGAGGAAGAAGAAGAAGAGCACCACCTACAAAAATGGAAAACTGTGGTTAGTATCAGTTTCTCCATCTTTCTTTTTGCCATTTTGTTTCCATTTCTCGGTGTTTCATTCCAATCACACTGTTCGTTGAACGATTAGTCGGCAAAACAAACACCGAAGAGTTTTCGTTTCTTGTTTTGTTGAGAATTGACGATCACTTGTTGTAATGTTCTAGGGTTTCGTCTTTCGTTGTTCGTGATCATGTGGTGCGGTTTTCTGTTTTATTGAGTTCGAGTGGGTTTGTCGGTGCAGTGGTTTATTTATAGATTTCACTGATTGCTTTCAAGTGATACTGTATGATTATTGCTTTTTATGTGATCTTCATGACTACAAAGCATCCCTGTCTTTGTTATGTGAACCAAGTTGAAAAAATTAACACAACTTCTATCAATTAAGCTGAACTTTTGTGACCGAGGTTGAATTGGAGGATTTGATCAACAACATCGATTCATTGAAAATAAGGTTCGCGCAAAAGTAGATAAATTATTGTGTTGGTGTGCATGTGTAGAGTCCATGGAATTATGTTTTTGTTGGTTGTGGTCAGGGTAGGGGTAGTCCTTGTGAGATTCCAAGTTATGTTTTCTCAGAATTCGCAGCAATTAAACAAAGCATTTGGTACCTTGACCGTTTTCAAATTGGATTGGTGAGATGAATGTGCTTGTAGATTCATTTGGAGTTTATCCGTCATGGTGGATTGTTCCTTTAATATGCATATCTTTGTTAGTTTAAATCTACTGTTGTGTTGAGTGTGCATGTAATGTTGCTTAAAACATATTTTGGATGGCCAAGCTCTCCGTGTCATAGTTGGCTACTAGATGCTTAGAGTCTTTAACAAAACCTCCTCACTGGTCCAATTATTTTATTATCATTCTGAGTTATCGAGTTCCAGGGGTTAAAATATGACTGTTAACAGTTGTTTAGATTTTTACTTCTTTTTTTTTTTTTGCTGTTTATTTCACTGTGCAGGTAATCCTCAGGACATGATGGTGCCACCAGTTGAAGGTGTTGCCGGAGGAGGGACTGCATACGGATGGGATGACACTGGCTTACATAATTCTAGTCCACTAAGGGGAACAATTGATCCGGCAAAAGTTCCATCTGCAAATTTAGTGCACGTTTGGTGTATGCCAAACACAGCAAATGTTGGGCCGCAAGACATGCCTAGAACGTTAGAACCTGTAAGTGTGTCTAGATTATCATTTATAGTTGTTCATGCATGTAGCTGATTTTCTTATTGTCAGAGTACTCCTTGTAGCTACTTCTTATTCATGTGAGTAGGATACATGTCTTCATATACTAGAGATGTCATTTAAATCACACATTTGCTTGCCGACAAATGCTGGAATCAACATATATGCTATGGTACATTTGCCAGAATGCATGAGTTCTGCCCCTGATCCTGTTATGCACTTCAATGGCAAACCAACTACGAAGTCCCTATGGACCATATATATGTTAGTAAAGCTTAATATGACATTGCACTTTATAGTTTCCTGTGCTAGAATGTTACTTCACTTCACCATCGACACAAACTAAATACTTGAAGTGATGCATATGTTTATCAATGACTTTATCTGCGTTGTTTCTAGCTAATCTATTTGACCTTATGTGATTTTCAATTGGACCACGTGACATGCAAGTCCATACGCACACACACCCACACCCACACCTCATTGTTGTCAATTCATTATTTTTGCAAATATTGGGGAATGGCGTAAGTGTTTACTCCCATAATGCAGTTTGTTATTGTGAGAAATCTTATTGAAGGTTACTAATGGAACTATTTTGAATAACATTGCCCAAAGGATGAGATTTATGGCTATTTTCTAATGCATGAAGACTTGATTAATACGAGAACAATAATGAGTTTTAGCTTCATTGTCCACATGCATTATATTTTTGAAGTCCCTCCATGTATTCTAAAGCTGTATTTACAGTCTCTACTCGAATTTTGCATAGGATTCCCCATTTGGAACTAGTCAATTCTTCTTTGATCATGCATTTCAGTGTATACTTGTGGTTCTATTGATATTAAATCTTGGTCTAATATGGTTTAGTTATAGTGCTTTTTTGTCAATTCTATCTGATGCTTCTTGTAAATAACTTTTATTAAGAGAGTTGAAGTAACTATGAGCTTTGTATGTTCAAAGTATACTTTTCATATATTTTTGTTTCTGATGACAGTTCTGCCTTCACATTTTCATTAGCTTGTGAATATGTTGAAAGAGAGTTTTGCCCTATGTCCACCTACTCTTTGGTGAGCAAGCTGAGCTCAGACCCTTCATTTCTCATTGTTGTTCATTGATCAATTTATTCAACAAGAGGATTAGTTATAGTCCTTGTGCTCTCTCTCTCTCTCTCACCTTCGGAATTTGGAAAATAACAAATAAAATATCTTCTTCTTTTTGTGTGTGTGTGTGTGTGTGTGTGGGTTAAGTAAACTTGAGCTCTTGATCTATTGGTTAGAAACTTCTAGCTTGGCAGCTGATTTATCTAGAGGATCAGTTGTTCTCCTCGCATGCAATTAGCAGCACCATATGTAGAATGTGATGAATAACTGAATAAACAATTTCCATCTGAGACTACTACCTTTTCTTTATCTCCATTTGCTTGTTCGAGCTGTTGGTTTGGATACATTGGCTATGGACATTAGGGGATCATTGCGTTGACTACTATTCGGTTTACTATAGGACCATTTACCTTCTTAAATTTTGTCTAAAACACCTGTTGGTCATAGCCATCAGAGTAAAATTTTGAACAGATGATCTATTACTTGATGTCTTTGAGTTGTGATATCTTGGTATCTAAAAATGGTTTATCTTCACTTGAAGATATCACTTCTGGCGGCGCGAAACGAGAGGGAAAGTATTCAAATTGCTATACGTCCAAAAGTTTCTTGGGGTGGTTCAGCTATTGCCGGGGTTGTACAGGTTCAGTGCACTGACCTATGCTCCACTACTGGTGATAGGTTAGCTTCTTGGAGGCATGTTAATTTGGTGCTAAATTCTGCACATTCTTGAAGTTAATAATACTTGATACTGGCTGTGGCAGGTTGGTTGTTGGTCAGTCACTGACATTGCGGCGTGTGGTCCCCATCTTAGGTGTTCCAGATGCGCTTGTTCCCCTTGATATGCCAGTCTCGCATTTAAGTCTATATCCAGGGTACTGATGTACATAAGTGATTTATTTGGTGTTAAGATGGTGGAAATATTGCTTGATGACTTGTTATCTGAGATTGAGATGATTCTTTTGCAGAGAAACAACTTCTATTTGGGTTTCCATAGATGTCCCTAGTGCACAGCCCCCGGGTCAATATGAAGGAGAGTTCATCATTGCTGCTACAAAGGCAGATGCAGAGTGAGTTTTCCTTTTAACCTCAGTTAAATATTGGTTGTGTTATATGGGATTTCAATCTTGTAGTTGTTCAGAATGTACAATCATTAGGATGTTCATATTTCTGGATGAAAAGTTTGACTTTATTATCTGGGTATATAGTTTTCTACATTTATTTTATTCCGACCAATCACAGATCTACAGCTCAATGCCTGGGCAAAGTTGAGAAGCTTCAGCTGTATAGAGAACTAAGAAATTGTCTGGAGATTGTGGAGCCTATTGATGGAAAGCCGATGGATGAAGTGGTGGGTTTCTAGAACGATGTTTGCCTATTCCGTATTTTAACTTAGGGTTTGTTAAAGCTGTTCATCTGAGTTTTTGTTTTTTTAGGTAGAAAGAGTGAAAACTGCAACTACATCTTTAAGAAGAGTTCTTCTATCGCCATCATTTTCTGATTTCTTTTCAGATAATGGACCAGTCGATATGATGGATGAGGATGCTATTTCGAACCTTTCAATACGCTTGAAGCTAAGTTTGACAGTTTGGGATTTTGTTCTCCCAGTAACACCTTCACTTCCTGCTGTTATCGGTGTATCCTGCTTGCTTTTTATTTAAAATTGATATGATTTTTCTTATGAAAATTTACTGTAATTATGCTTGTGAAGTTTTGGAAGATATGCAATGCTTGTATCTGAAGATACTGAAACTGCCGTACCTCTATGCCATCAATGACTCCATGGCATGGATGGGGGTCATTTGACCATAAATTTTAGTGACATTTTTAATTCAAGGTTGAATAAATCATTAGAAGTAGAATAAAGCCAAATATTGCAATACATTTTAGAAAATGGAACTTCCATAAAGGAGAGGTAAACGAAAGGTATCCATAAAGTTTCATAGAATTGAGATGAAAGTGTCTTAGTTGGTGGCTATTTTTATTTGTTATGTTTGTTGTGAAGTGTGGAATGAAGTATATCAATTCCTAAACATTATTGTGTATAACTAATACTCTCTCTGTCCCATTTGATGTGTCTTTGTTGACCGTGTGTACAATTTAAGAAAATCATCTTTATATAATAAATTTACAACTCTGCCCTGCCCTTTGTCTTATTCGAATAAATATCTGGGGAATTGGAATTCCATTTAAACATAAATTTAAAGAAACATGATATGGAAAAGTTCAGACTATAATTTTTGGCTTTTCAAACTAAGGCACGTAAAATGGGATGGAATGAGTACTTGTTAAATACCGGCTAGAAGGAAAGGAAGTCGTTACACTCTTATACCTGATGATTCTTATTCTAAATTCTGGATTGTTCTAATGCTTATCTGATGTTATGATCTTCATTTTTCCCACTGAATGATTATCCTGATGCTACAAATGTTGCTGTTAAAAGATAATAATTTTATTGATTCCATATGATAATTTTTGCGTAAAAACATCATGCAGCATAGTGTTGAATAAAAAGGGGTAACAAGTTATCTGAAAAGTGAGTTTATGGTGCCATTATGATGTTGCACTTAGGTATCGCTTGTTTGGCATCTGCCTTTGCACTATTTTACTTGGTTTGTCCATTTTCTTCATGGATCAAGAATCCATACTTCTATTCTGAAAACACGGGCTTTGATAATTCAAATTTTAATCTCTTTTGTAAACATTCTGTTCCTGAGCTCATGTTGATGGGGCATTGATTATAATATTAAAGATTGAGGGTCCATTCTGTCAGTATATGTAGATGAGTGCAAACTTCCTTAATTGTATTTAGATATCTGATACCGTAATTGAAGATCGTTTTGGGGTTGAACATGGGAGTAAGGAGTGGTATGAAGCATTAGATCAACATTTTAAGTGGCTGCTTCAATATAAGATCAGCCCATATTTTTGCAGATGGGGTGACAGCATGCGTGTTTTGACATATACCTCTCCATGGCCAGGTGAGTGAAGCAAGTCAAATTTTATTATGGGTTAGTGGTTGTCCACATTTTGTTTGATATTCAGTGATAGCTCATGTGGCAAACTTTATGTTGTGGGTTAACATTATACATTTATATGGCTTGAATGTATAGTTGTGTTAGAATTTACTATCACCTACCACCACTACCACCTCACCTACTCCACTAAACCTAACCCACTACACCACTACCACCTCACCTACTCCACTAAACCTAACCCACTACACCACTACCACCTCACCTACTCCACTAAACCTAACCCACTACACCACTACCACCTCCACTTCACCTACTCCTTACCTACTACACACTCACCCTCTTCTATATATAGGAATCATGAATCATTGTAATAGAAATCAATAACATTATATCAATCAACAATACAATTCTCTATTTCTCTTTATACATTAAATTTCTACAAGTTGCCTGGTGTGAAGTTACTTCCATTATTATATATTACTTTATCTGACCTCTCTTTCTCTTCGCCATTGCTGGTCTAGCTGATCATCCAAAATCAGATGAATATCTTTCAGACCCACGACTTGCTGCATATGCTGTACCATATTGTCGAGTAGTCTCTTGGTATGCAGTCAATTGCGTGCACTTCATTGTATCAAGTCCTTATTATGATGTGCACTGATGAGCTTCTACTGACTTTTATGTGCAACAGTGGTGATACGGCAAAAGACTACTTGCAAAGGGAAGTTGAGATCTTAAGAACAAAGAGTCATTGGAAAAAAGCTTATTTCTATCTTTGGGATGAGGTATGAACAGGCTGTTGCAAATTGGTGGCAGAAATGACTTGTATTCTGTAAGAATGAGAGCTGAGGACCTAGGATGATATCTTAGTTCTATGCTGGCCTTATTTGTACAGAGTAGTTCAAAATAGTGTTGTTGGAGATGGATTTTTCATTTTCTGTTTAAAAAGCAATCTTATTTTCATTTTATACAAAGCAATATATATATATATATATATAATTTATAGTTCATTAATGATGCTGATGTGCATGTATTACAAAGCAACATATATATATAATTTATACCTCATTAATGATGCTGATGTGCATGTATTACTTTCTGCCAGCCACTGAATGTGGAACAGTATGATTCCATTCGTAACATGGCTAGTGAAATCCATGCCTATGCTCCTGATGCTCGTGTTCTTACCACCTACTACTGTGGTGCGAATTTCCCCTCCCTTATTTTATATGCATTTGTATTTAATTTTCCTGGTTATTTTTCTTGTATGCTTGTACTGAACAATGATTGAAATTTGATGATTTGGAGATCTTCAATTAGAGGTTTCAGAGTCTAGACATTGACATTGCAGTTCATCCTTCAGGTGTTGGGTCCACAATATGTAAAATCTCATATTGATTGTTAGATCAGCAAGTGGTTTCAGTTAATGACCCTGAATCTCAGACTCTCAAACCACTTTGGCTCACTTGTTTTTCATCCCGTAAGATAATGTACAATTTTTGTATATAATCTCATACACGGATGATGTTTTTCTAGACTACAAATTATACATTTTACATGAACCTATTATGTTATGGTGAGTATGATGTACAAGCTTAAATTTTATTGAATGAAGCCTGATATTAAGAAGAAAGCCAACTAGTATATTAATCAGGACAAGAGTTATCACTTGGCCTGTGCATCAACCTGGCAAGTGGAATGGGTCAATGGAGCTAGTTCAGTAATTAGATCAACTGCCTTAACCGATCATTCACCAAAAAGAACAAAAAGTAAAGGGGACTAATATCTTGAAAAATTCAATCCCCCTTCCCCTTACCTACCCACCCTGAGTACTTGTTAAATACCGGCTAAAGAAATAGTAGTCAGGACAAGTTTTCAGTCATTAGATTACAACGAGAAAGAAATAGTAATGCATAAAATTCTTTTCAAGTGTTAACATCCAAAACACCATTTCTTAATTAATAAATTTATTGTAGCATATTCATACTAGTATATTACAATCTCTGCTTGAGCATTCAATGTCAAGGTATAACACATGATTGCTCAGATTTTAGCAAAATATTAAGCAAAGTTATGGGAAAAGAATAGTGATAGGGAAGCAGAACAGACCCCAATTATGCAACCCTAGACCTCATGTTTATGTTTATCCTATTCTAATTATTAGAAAGTGAACCAAAAATTTGTTATAATTTGAGCATAAGTATTATGCTACCATTGGATGAGAGAACATTTTCCCCAAGGTTGAAGGCATATATCAGAGTAAGATAGCATTCAAAAGAAGTATAGATTTTATCTTCCAATAAAGAGTAAAAAATATTTAAAATAAAAGATTAAAGAGAAAAGGATGATAAGATGTGAAGAAAGGGAAACACTATTGAAAACTTTGAGAGTGAGGAACAACTATAGTCTTAATAATCATTGCATTTAAACATCTTCTTGATCCCCAAAATTAGGAAAATGAGTGAGAACACTAATTAGTGCTACCACTAATGATGTGGCAGTGGACCCCACCATGAATGATTTGATGTTTTGGCCTTGGTGTTGTATTTTTTTTCTTTTTTTTATTGAGTGCCATGTCATTAGTGATCTTTTTAGAGCTCCAAAATTAGTGGTCTCTATCATTGTTGCCAAAATTATGTCTGTAGTATGATGTACCAAGTAAATTACAGAATTGGGCAGGACCTTGAAACATTTTCTAATTTCATTACTTGAAGCTTCCAAACTAGGGTCTATTGCTTGATGCAATGGTGAGGTAAAAGTTCATACTGTCTACTGTCAAGTTTAAGAATGCAGGTTCAAGAATAAGAATAAGACTAAACAAAGTGTTGTCTGAATCCCATCCACTCTCTCTCATTAGCGGGACCAATTCTTGTTAATAGCCTTGAAACTTCAAGATTAAGCTGTTTGATTTAGCTCTGTAGTGGCTTTGAGTGATTGTTAATTTGATGGTTCTTGTACTTTCATGACTATTTAAGGAAATCATTTTTTTTATTTGTTCTCGTAATTATCATAACTTTTCTTAGTTGTTGTCTGATTCTGGCATTGTTCTTAGATGGCTTTCTAATTTTATGCAGGTCCAAGTGATGCACCCCTTGCATCTAATAATTTTGAGGCATTTTTGAAAGTTCCGGAGTTCCTAAGGCCTCATACTCAAATATATTGCACAAGGTATTGATATCAATGGCTTTCTTAGGTACACATAAAAGGTGCATTGGCACCAGAACACCCCTTTGCACAGTGGCAAAGGGAAAATAGTAAAAGTAAAAAACCTGAAGACATTTGCTTATAAAGGAGCTAGGAAATGACTCTTTGGTGCAAGACTAGAGTTTTTGTATCCTCACTGAACTGCATGTTTTCTGACTGAACTTTCTGAACTTGCTATTCTTTGTAAATTGTTAATTGTACATATCTCCCTATCATTTCTGGTTTAATTAAGCTCTGCCTTGACATTTGCCCTTGGTGTAAATTGTTAAATTTGAGTAATTGAGAATTATGGAGGAAGGGGATTCATGTAAATTCTCAGAATTAAGCTTCTGAACTGGCAATTTATCCTGTAGTTAGAATGAGCAATGTCTATCTTAAAAGAAACAGTGCTCTCATTCTGGAGCATATCAGAATGACTGTGCCGTTTGATTTCTGATTCTAGACAAATGGGGTCAAAAGTGAGAATTAGCAGCCACTCAATTATCATTTGAAATAGAAGTGAGAATTGGTGTACTTTATATTTGTACAAGTTGATCTGAAATAATATTGGCTTGTTTACGTGGATAAGCTGAAAATATATCAGAAATGTTCTACCAAAAAAAAATTTCCCCCTCATCTTTGCAGTGAATGGGTGCTTGGTAACCGAGAGGATCTGGCAAAGGATATTATTGCTGAACTTCAACCAGAAAATTGCGAGGTAAATTATTATTATGGTATCTGCCCTTGGCTCTGAAGTTATAATGTTGCTGAAGGAATTTCTTGATTGTTAGGTATTATAATTTATAGTTACTTGAATTCATTATTCTTCTTCAAATACAAGAATAAATTTTATGGCACAAATATTAAGAACAAATTTTCTTGACTTCATAATTTTATCGATGCTCTAGGAAGTAGGAACTGTGGGTAGTAAACAAATTTGATCATTTGAATCCAAAGTCTATATCTGGGGGAAATTATTAAGAACTGGACCAATTTGTAACAATTCTCTACAACTCTTTTTGTATGAAACTTTGTGATTGCATGATGTTATGTTATTGCATGATCAAACATGACAACAAATTTTGTTTACAGACTTGTTTAAATGAATTTACTCAAATAGATTTATCTGCATCATGGCTCTTTGTTCATAAGTATCTCAACCTTAAGTGGTGTTATGACCACCTTGGAATTTGGTAACTACAAGCTTTTTTGGAATATAATGTGCCTATTACCAAAACATAAATAGAACATGTACTAGAAAATGTCTCTAGCTCTGTCAGCAAAGCTTGTTAGGGATGGAATAGAGACTTGGGTTCTAGTCAAGGCCCCCTTTGAGCTTGAACATCGTCTTCACCCATTTTTGCCTTCCATCCTTACAAGGAAATGGCAGTTTTACTTGGCAAGTGGAAGAAGCATTACTTTACATAAGAAATTGCCACTAGCAACTAGACAAGCTAATATGAGATGGTTGATTTAGTTTTTTGAATAGTAGATCATTTAATTTAAGTTGGATCATCTAATTTTAGTTGTTGAGACCTTTAATTTGTTTAACATGTAATATTTGATTAGTTTCTAAGTATTTTACCTTTTCTGATCTGCCGTATGTGGTGCCAAATGCTCACACCCCTTTCTAACCTGGTTGTAACCTTGCAAGCAGCATTCTTCGTTTGAGGATCTTGCTACCTCTTTTATGTATTTGATCTTGCAGTTGCTTTCTTGGTGTCTTAAGAACAATTGGAAAGAGGGGTTTTAATGCTAGAGTGTTTTGCGCTTATTAGTAAATTCATTAGTTGGCCATTGAAACCTCGTGTTCTAAATTGGGTCCAGATCATGCCATCTGAAAGGCATAGTATGTTTTCTGCATACTGGTGATAAATTAGAGCATTATATCATTGAAGTTTTCTTTTGTTGGATGGCCTTTTAGTTTTCTGAAGATTGAATGTGTGAGATGTTGCATATATTTTTGCTTGTGTACGGGTGAGATGTTGCATATATTTTTG